CCCCAATCTATCCTTTTGCCTTCATATTGAAAAATTATCTTCAAAACTTTACCCAAAACTAGGTGCCCTGTACAGAAACAAATCCTGCCTAAGCCCTACAGTAAGGAAACAGATAATGCAACAAATGCTAATGCTGGTAATTGATTATGGGTATGTAGTGTATACACCCGCACCGCAAACCCACCTTAAAGGACCACTATAGGCACCCAGACCACTTCAGCTCAATGAAGTGGTCTGGGTGCCAGGTCCATCTAGGGTTAACCCTGCAGCTGTAAACATAGCAGTTTCAGAGAAACTGTTATGTTTACAATAGAGTTAATCAAGCCTCTAGTGGCTGTCTCATTGAAAATCACAGTGAGAAGATGCTGCCGTCCATAGGAAAGCATTGAGAAATGCTTTCCTATGGACTGATTGAATGCGCATACGGCTCTTGCCGTGCATGTGCATTCAGCGGATGATGTCGGAAGAAGGAAGAAATTTCCCCAGTGACGAGGGAGCCCGTGTTTAACCCCTTCCTCCCCCTTCAGCCCGGCGGGAGTGGGACCCTAATGATGGGGGGCACCTAAAGATCCTTTAGAGCAAGGAAAACGAGCTTGTTTTCCTGGCACTATAGTGGTCCTGTAATAAACGTAATACATTATATAATTCATTCTGCCACTTTGTACTAGAATGTAATTACTTTACCCACCACTGTGACATGTTAAAAGAGCTAAACTGGCTGTTGCTGGAATCCCGACGCTCTCTTCAATTTTCCAGCCTTGTGCATAAGAGCTTTTCTGGGAAGCTCCCACCCCACCTGAGTAGAATGCTCTCCCCAGCTTATAGAAATCAGCACTTTTATAAACTGAGGTTAAACCAGGCTACTCCTCACCCATAAATCATTTCAGCAAACTGAAGTGCTTTTGTGGTGTGGAGTGTTTGTTTAAGTAGTTGTTTGTCTCAAATGTTAAAATCAGTGTAGGACAAACCGATATTGGGGTACTGTGGAGTACTGGTTGGCTTAACTCAATATGGCTATATGGTGGAACTGAATCTCCATATTTGTTTGCTGAGGTAGGTGATTTTAAATAGCCTTATAAAATTTAAAACTGTATTTTTGTGTGTTCCTTCATCTAATGGTAGTCTGAGAGAACGGGGGGCAGGCTAACAAAGTGCTCTCAGCCTACCATTGCTGCCCAGTGGACTGTGTGGTGGATGCATGCAATGCAAATACCCTTTGGGTCACTGCCATACAGAAATTGGGACCTTAAGCCTCACCCCATTCTTCAGCTGATTAGAATTGCATGAGGTGTATTGGAACCTCCACTGGCAGAGCACTGAAGGTGTTAGGCAGCAACAGGACTTTTGCTAGCCCAACTCCGTGTAGGTTTGTACATTGACTGATGTTCTTACTCTAAAAGCGTTACTTCTTAAAGTGAGAAATGACAGTGAATCTAGGGCCAAACTAACCAAATTGAAACCGTAGCTGACTCCAATTGGATACTATTTCCAGTTTGGCTACTTTGGGCTTACATTTGAAATTCACTTTGAATTCCCAACAATTCTAACTGTTTGGGCAGTGTCCGATCAAGCTGTCGGGTGATGATGAGTATCTGTGAAGTACTGGAAGATATAGTAAACACAGAGTGAAATGAGAGTGTGCTCAGAACATTCATCACACAAAGCATGTTAGTGCTAGAAAACAGCCATTTGTTTGTACTTGCCCTCCAGGCCAAAGGTTGCCACCCTCCAGTGGGTGGACGGTGAGATGGCTGTTAGTGCCTCAAACCTCTCAAGCAGATCAAAAATCCCTCAATGTATTAGTCACAGGTTCCATCAAGTAAATACAAACAACATTTTAATTTTTGTTTTTCATTTTCCAGTAGTGAATATATTGCAGTGTGCAAATTCATAATTTCCCTCTTTTAAACAGAGTTTATGGTTGAATGCCATATGATTAGATAGATGTTATCATAAATAACATTATGCTGAGTCACTGTATTGCCTGAAAGTTACATAAATATTTGTATGAGGTATAATCTGTGATGCATATGCATTATACATTTTTATGCTAACCTTATGCAACTCTTATGCAACTCTTTTATGCAACTAAACATTGTGTTTACATGACAGTTACATAATGCAGTGTAAACTAATTGTATCTTTTTATATTATATTATTATCTCTTTCTTCCATGTTATGTCATATTCTGGCTTGTGCCCTCTATCTCTGTTAAATAAAACTAAAAATATTTCGCCATGGCTTCTTTATAGATATATACATATACACATACACTCTATATACATATAGAGTGTATGTGTCTGTGTTAGTGCATACAGTGAGGGGAAAAAGTATTTAAACTCTTGCTGATTTTGAACGTTTGACCACTGACAAAGAAATGATCAGTCTATAATTTTAATGGTAGGTCTAGTTTAACAGTGAGAGACAGAATAACAAAACAAAAAAATGCAGAAAAATGTATGTCAAAAAAGTTATAAATTGCATGGCAATGAGTGAAATAAGTATTTGATAACCTATCAATCAGCAAGATTTCTGGCTCCCAGATGTCTTTTATTCAGTTAACTATCTGAGATTAGGAGCACTCTGTTAAAGGAAGTGCTCCTAATCTCAGCTTGTTACCTGTATAAACGACACCTGTCCACAGAAGCAATCAATCAGATTCAAAACTCTCCACCATGGCCAAGACCAAATAGCTATCCAAGGATGTCAGAGACAAGATTGTAGACCTAAACAAGGCTGGAATGAGCTACAAGACCGTCGCCAAGCAACTTGGTAAGAAGGTGACAACAGTTGGTGCGATTATTTGCAAATGGAAGAAACACAAAATAACTGTCAGTCTCCCTTGGTCTGGTGCTCCATGCAAAATCTCACCTTGTGGAGTTTCAATGATCATGAGAACAGTGAGGAATCAGCCCAGAACTACACAGGAGGATCTTGTTAATGATCTCAAGCTGGTACCATAGTCACCAAGAAAACAATTGGTAACACACTACACCGTGAAGGACTGAAATCCTGCAGCTCCTGCAATGTCCCCCTGCTGAAGAAAGCACATGTACAGGCCCGTCTGAAGTTTACCAATGAACATCTGAATGATTCAGAGGAGAACTGGGTGAAAGTGTTGTGGTCAGATGAGACCAAAATCGAGCTCTTTGGTATCAACTCAACTTGCCGTGTTTGGAGGAGGATAAATGCTGCCTATGACCCCAAGAACACCATCCCCACCGTCAAACATGGAGGTGAAAAAACATTATGCTTTGGGTGTATTTTTCTACTAAGGGGATAGGACAACTGCACTGCATCAAAAGGACGATGGACGGGGCCATGTACCTTCAAATTCTGGATGAGAACCTCCTTCCCTCAGCCAGGACATTTAAAATGGGTCGTGGATGGGTATACCAGCATGACAATGACCCAAAACACACAGCCAAGGCAACAAAGTAGTGGCTCAAGAAGAAGCACATTAAGATCCTGGAGTGGCCTAATCCAATAGAAAATCTATAGAGAGAGCTGAAGGTTCAAGTTGCCAAATGTCAGCCTTCGAAACCTTAAAGACTTGGAGAGGATCTGCAAAGAGGAGTGGGACAAAGTCCCTCCTGAGATGTGTACAAACCTGATTGCCAACTAGAAGAAACATCTGACCTCTGTGATTGCCAACAGGGGTTTTTCCACAAAGTACTAAGTCGAAGGGGTCAAATACTTATTTCACTCATTGACATGCAAATCAATTTATAAGGTTTTTGACATGCGTTTTTCTGGATTATTTTTTGTTGTTGTTATTCTCTCTCTCACTGTTAAAATACACCTACCATTAAAATTATAGATTGATACTTTCTTTGTCAGTGTGCAAACGTTCAAAATCAGCAGGGGATGAAATACTTTTTTTCCCTTACTGTATGTCCTTATTTATGTATATGTCTTGGAATATATGTGTTGTAATTTGCAGCAGGTGTGGCAGTGAGTGTAGTAGTATATAGAAATGTGTGTATAACAGTGCAGGTAACATTGTGTGTGTACCTGCCATGCTTTATACCAGATGTCCATTCTGGATCAAGCCTTCTCCTTACTCTCTCCTGGAAACTACGGTGTTAAGTCTGATGGGACATGGTCATGCAGAAATCAGGCTCTATCAGACTGAACCCAATGATCCCAGAGTCCAGTAGCCTCAGTTCTGGTCTTTGCCATCTGGAGAGACAGCAAAGCATGAGGACAGCTGCTTTTAACAGAGTAGGTACCTGGGGCGCCCCAAGCAGACATGTGCCGGAAGGCAGGTGACTATTCTGCCTAAGGGAAAATCTCTATATAGATGTTTCTTGGTCGATCATGTTAATATCTACACTTACATAAAATAAGATTTTGACAAGCTTTTCTTAACTTCTCCTCTCAGGTGGACTGATCACCCAGAATATCCTTTCCTGGATGAGTATTAATATAGAATAGCTGATCATCTGGTCTCCAAGACATTGGACATTCTTCAGTATGGCCTGTGAAACATGTACCGGGCATGGTCCTGCCACTTACATTACAGACAAAGAAATCATTCACATTGCATTGATGTTTGCTCAACAAATCTGGGCTTTATTATATGCCATTTTAATGACCAAATAACCAGCACCCCACATATGTGGGAAACAGAACCTTTTCACAAGTGTTGGCCTTCTTATTTTACCAAACGGTGTATTAATTATGGTTACTGTAGATTTCAGAATATTTTAGTTTTAGAATGCACATACTTTTTAGCTTTTTAGTGATTATTTGTCTTTATTAACCAATCTTATTTTTTTTAATAAATGTGATAACAATGGGGAAAAAAAAATTATGTTAGATACTATGTGTTAGAATAATAAACATAGTCAGGTTTGCAAATACAGGATAGATAAAGTCTGTAACTTTAGTGGCTTGG